ACTATGGATCTGGGATTCTTTTGTCAGTATCCTATCTGGTTTTCCCTCCTGGTATACAAATTGACTACTTTCTTCATTGTCATTGAGGCAAATCCTGCCCTACATACCAAGTCCTACAAGTCCACTCTTCAAAACCTTTGATGGATCTAAAACCAGCCCAGATGCCCTTTCTTAGGACATATATTTCTTATTTTTAATTGTGGGGCTTTTATCACTTTAGGAAGAAAATGAACCCTCTACATCAACCTTGCATATTTTATTAAAATTTTTGCCAGAGAACAAAGTGCACCTAACCATATAATCTTTTAGCATTACATCCTTTTACTGAGGACACAAAATACTTCTTGCCCATACTATAATACTAAAAACAATTTAAACCATGTGTGTGCATAAACTATTTCTTTTTTTTACCCACTTGGCCTCCAGAAAATTTACCCTTCCTCATAACCAGGCCATTTTTTGCTATACGGCACTTTAACTGACAATTGCATGGTCACGCAACACTGTACACAAATGACATTTATAGATTTTTTCACACAATAGAGATTTCTTTTGGGGGTATTTGATCACTGGGTTTTTTTTATTTTTTGTGCTATAAATGAAGACCAAAAATAAAATAAAAAAATTTGTTACTTTCTGGTATAAAACATATCTGCTAAAAAAAATAAAAAAAATAAAATGTTTCCTTAAATTTAGGCCACAATGTACTCTGCTATATGTCTTTGGTAAAAGAAAAATCCCAATAAGTGTATATTAATTGGTACTGGAATTTTTTTTTATACTAGTAATGGCAGTAATTAGCAACTTATAGTGGGACTGGGATAGTACAGTGGCTATTCTAACACTAACTGACACTGTCTGAGAACTGACTAAATGCCACTGACATCTCCAGTGACCATAATGCAGAGACCAGTGCTAATAAAAAGCACTGACACTGTACTATTGACACTGGGCTGGAAGGGGTTAACCACTTGCAAGACCACCCTGTAGAAGTTTTAAGTTTTAGTTTTTAGCTCTGCACAAAATCACCTATATATGTACGTGATTCTGCATTTACTGGTAGGGAGTGTGCGCACACGCCGTCCTACCTACGCTGTCATTGGCTCCTGTAAAGGTCAATCTCTGGGTCCCAGCCAGCGATTCATGGCCGGGACTTGGTATTTGGCGAAGCAGCTGAAAAGAGAGAGATCTGTGATCCCCTGTCAGTGGGGATGTGCTGGTTTTGATCTTTTTGCAAAGCATAGAGATATAAGCCACCACTTCCCCTAGTAAAACACTACACAGTACACAGTTTAATCACTCCCTAACACTCATCTAACCCTTTGATCACCCCAGATGTTAATACTACACAATTGGTAGTTTTTTGCACTGTGTCTCTCCCCCCTACTCTTCTCCTTTCATATTATATTGCTGCATGGGAAGCATAATTACAAACTGAACTATTGCATTGTGATATAAATAAAGCACTTTTAATGGCCTGTAGGCTAGGGCAACTACAACATAGGAAAAGGCCTATAAGAACCTACCAAGCTTGTGCCCTACATTGGATCTTTCCTACAGTTCCTTCCATCTGTTGATGCTGTGGCTCAATGGAAGGTAAAAATTGGCAACCGCCCCAACCTATAACTAGCCTCTTCAGTAAGGTGCACATGGAAGAGCTGTGCACATCACAAACAAATATTTCCCAGCACACTTAACAGCCAGCCTGGAAAACATCACTTAAAAAACAGAGGGTTTTGATTACACACAGCAGCAGCTATATGCGTAAGCCGCAGTGCCCACACCAAGGCTCCTCTGTATATTGCGGTCCTAACTGTATAATTTTCAGAGTCTCCCAAGGTGAAGCACATATAGCACTTGATATATTAAGAACATGTCTGCCTGGAGGGAGCCCACCCCTCCTTAAAGGCACAGGGACCCATGTGACACCCAGCAAGAGCACAATGACATCCAAAGGCATCCAGTGTATCTCCCCACCCATATCAACCAACTGTACAAAAAAGTGGCAAACCATCCCAACCTATAACTAGCCTTTGCAATAAGTTGCACATGGAAGGGCAACGCACATCACAAACACACAAAAAAAATTTCCAGCACACTTACCAGCCAGACTGCAAAACAACCAAATTGGCATTGTCTAACAACTCTTGTTAAAAAACATTGGGCTTTGTTTGGACACATTTACAAATATACACATAAGTTGCAGTGCCAACATCAAGGCTTCTCTGTATACTGCAGTCCAATCAATATACGTTTCAGATTCTCCCAAGTCAGAGCACGAAGAGCAGTGCATATATTAAGGGCAGGTATACCTGGAGGGAGCCCACCCCTCATGAAAAGCACAGGGATGCACGTAACTCCCAGCAAGAGTACAATGGCAGCTGAATGCATCCACTGCAGTGTATACCTGATGCGAATTGTGCTCCCCCTTGTTACTTTTCGATTGTTACCTTAAAAACCTTCCATAAACTGCTATTCTATTATTATTATTGCATACCTTTGTGCATTTTTACCTTTTATTGATATATTTCCTGCACCAGAAAATAGGTTTACATTCCTAACTGTGCCTTTAAAGCACACATGTATTGCATAGACCCGTCTATAGGCAATCTATGCTTGCAGTGTTTGCTATGGTCATGGAAAAGGTACTAGGAGTAAAACACATTGACTCCAGCTGGTGATCCCTGTCATTTGTCAGTGATTACCTGACAAAGCAGTGGTGAAAAAACACTGCTTTGTCATAAAATCTATTTTCCCATGGCCCTTTTTGTCAAAGGGCAAAGAGAGATGGACTGCTTTACTCTGCATTAATCAAAATACTTAAGAACTTTTTACCAAAGCTTCTTTGCTTACACCTAGTTATGAAGAAGTTAAGCAGGTTCCCCAGGAAAACATAAAATCATGGTATCATGGCCTATAAAACATTATGTTTAATTCATACTGAATCATTTAAAATGTTTCTGGAGCATAAGAAAACATGTAAAAAAAGAACCATTATTTATTTAAAACACAGCTATATGTAAAATTACTCTTTATTGTTTCTTTTAGGAGCATGTTGAAAGATATGCATTTCTGAATATTTGCAACTGTACTTTATACAGGCTGTTTTAATGGTGTGTGTTTTTTCTTAGTACTGGAAACAGAACATTGTTTTATTGTTCTGTATATATCTCATTTTCAACATAAAATCCCTCCGCAGTGTTTTCAGATGCAAATATGATTCTTGTTGCATTACTTTATAGCTTGACAAGAATCTTTTGATATGTCAGATAGAGCTCAGCTGTCAAGAGGGCAACATTTTGATCACTCACATCATCTATGAAAAGCAAAAGGAAATGTTTTTCAAAAATCTGTGCAATCTATGCAGAGGTCTACTCTTGGGAATGATGTGTAGCAAACAGATAAAGCCAGTGTATAGAGCTTATAAAGGTAATGCACTAGCATTGTTATTTATTGGGGCATATTTCATGTTTAAAGCCTCTTTTAAGTCTAATACAGCAATATTGTTCCATTGGGATATGCAGGCTCTGTAAACTGATATAGTCATACAGTATCAGGAGATGGTTCAGTAACAGGATGAAGAAAGCTTTTGGAAAATATATATGGTATAGTAAAAAAAATGTAAGCAAGTAAATCATATCACTTTGCCTGGAAAAATATGTACATGACAAACAGAGCCAAACATAATAAAACACAGTAGTGTTTTGTGGATGTAGTAAATTGTATTGCAAGAAAAACCTGGTTGCATTCTTATGTTTCCATCACTTTTCAAGAGTATATTATGGATCATACAAGAGAGTAGGGATGAGAAAATGGGTCTGGGTTTAGTTAGTGAAGATACAATGAGCCCAATTGCACACTTAAAACCAAACCTAACTGAGACTTACGTGGTCTTGATAATAAATTCTAACCATTTTAAAGGACAAGATATTGTAACAATATTGTAACAAAAAAGACATGGGAAGCTGGACACTGTCATAGGAAATATGTAGCAATGGAAAAAAAAAGACTACCATATGGTGGGGAAAAGGTCTGACAAGGGGAAAAAAAACACCAATCCTTTCAATTACATGCTTTGAATATGTCTTTGAAGCGGAATTTAACTCACCACCCATTCCTAGGGCCCAACACCACTATGTCCCCATGCAAAAATACAAAAGGTTTCCTTGCAGGATGATACATCAAACGGCACAGTGCTGTGAACAAAGCACAACTCCAAAACAGGATACTCATTGTTAACAAGCGAATGCTGAGTTTTTATCACCCGAAAGTTAAAGAAGCCCTATCAGCAGAAAAAATAAATATAGACAACACAAAGAAAAACCCCAATATACCTCCCCTGAAACAAAAACACACTTTTTTTGTGGAAGTCTTTCTACAAATAAAAGCAGTTTAATATGAATGAAAGGCCCGATCAACATAAAATAATTAACAACATATCCCCAAAAGAACTAAAAACAACAAAGTACTACCCCTTTGAAAAGGAGATCATGAAAAAGTGAAGTCTTACAGAAAAAAGTGATAGGATTTGAAGTGGTGATGACTACTAGCAACATCATCTTGTAGGGAAGAATGGAGATAAAAATGTCTCTAATAGGTTAAAAATGCCAGATCTGAGGTGCTGAGAGAACTAGAAAAAAATTAGCCTAGGCTCAGAGTGTAAGCCCCAAGGCTTAAAATTTCAAGTCCTGAGCTACTAGCCAGGCCTTAGAGTTACTCGCCACCAACAAGCACACACAAACAGAGAGACCTGTACACACACACAGACATGTATACACACACACACACACACAGAAACATGTACACACACGCACAGAGACACATATACATGTACACACACACACACACACATACAGACACGTATACACACAGGCACGTACAGACACACATACACACAGATACATGTGCATACACAGAAATACACACTCACAGACACATATACATACACACAAACACATGTACATACATACATAGACACATGTACATACATACACAGACACATGTACACACAGACACATGTACGTACGTACATACACACAAACACACATGTACATGCACACACACACAGACACACGTACATACACAGACACATGTACACACACATACATGTACATGCATGCAGACACATGTACAGATACACACATGTACATACACAGAGACACATGTACAATTGTACATGCATACACAGGCACACACAAACACACACACATGTACACGTACACACACCCATAAAAAGTTGCAGTACTTCGTCGTTCACATACAAATCACAGATCCGGGTACTGCACTCTAGGGGGAGGCAGAGAGCACAGCACACACTCCTTGCTTTGCTTTCACTGCGCTCAGCTATTGAGCAGTCTGACGGCTCCCAGTGCCAATGACAGATCCGGCCTGAGCTCCAAGCCTGCTCAGCAAGACGGCCCTGGGGGACACACTCACCCCCACCATAATTTCCACTCGGCATTGGCAAGCAGGCGAGTGGAAATTTCAAGCCCTGGTAAGCACACACACTAAATCTTCACCAGAGCATCCTGCAAGAAGTGATGCACTTTCCTGATGAATATACAAGGCTGCACACCTTAGACACATCTGTGCAGATGGCAGCTAACCAGGAATAGATCCAAAGCATGGTACACAGTCAACAGGCAGAGTAAGAAACAGGGACAGGCAAAATATCAGGGCAGGTGGTGAACCAACACTGTCAGATAAAGCTAAAGTCAGTAACCAGAGTAACAAAAACACAGAAACCAGCATGAAATGGAGCTTGGGGTTATAAAATGAACCTATTGCTTGGGCATTTGGCCTGAGCATAGCTAAATAGTGAGCTTGATTGACAGGCTTGCTGGGGACTTGCCATGTAGGTGCTTTAGCAACCAGCAGTTCTAGCAATGCCTATACTTTCCAATCCTGGAACAAAGCAGGCCTTAGCAATAAAGGAGAGGCCACATACCAATAGATATCAAAATAACGGCGTTCCTCCTATATATAATATCCCAATTGCACAAAAACACTTTTACCCCAAAAAGTGTATAAATCAATAATCCATAGAGTGCTATTACTCAACAAATGTCAACTAAATAAATAAATAAACTCTTAAATAATACTGTCCAAAATGTATATATGTAAAATTTTCCAACAAAATAAGTTTTCCAAAAACAGTCCACGAGATGATGTTCCAGCAAGATAGTCCCAATAATTCTTGGAGATTAAACCTCAAGAAAAAGAGAACTCATATAGTGTAATACCATAAATACATGGAATCAAACGAACATCACTGCAAACGCATGTGAATCACACTGAACCACACACATGTGAATCACATAAATACCACACGTGATCTATAGGTGAATATAAGTGTGAACAACATGTGTAAAAAAGAGGTATTAAGGGTAACACTTGCATGCAGTGTCAAATCGTGAGGGTGTCCACATCTAATGGATAATATACTATTACCAGAAATGTAGAAAATACCAGCATATAGATCTCAATCAAGAGACCACTTTGTAAATCCAGACAATAGGACACAGATCTTCCATCCATACACCAGCTCACTAATTCCCAGTGACCAGGCTATGATGGTATAATCTCTAAGGATACTTCCAACAATGCTTATATGCAATCGCTTATCCCAAAGTATAAACACCAGAATTCAGCAGTACAACGTTCATCATCTAGGTATACTTTAATAATGTAAGTTCATACTTTAGCAGTAGATAGAGTAGATAAAAACAAATGAAACCAAAAAAAACAAACAAAAAAAGCACAGCCAGACGCTCTGTAGATCCTTAGGAGCGCTCTTTCCTGTGTCTGTGTATGAGGATTCCAGGATCAAAGATGGCCGTCCGACAACTTCCGGTTGTGCTGTGCGTCCTGACGTCACTTCCCTTTGACGCATTTCGTCACCTGACTTATTCATAAAGGGTCAAAGACAGGCTGTGAGAAGACAAAGACAGGCTGTGAGAAAAATCAATTGTAGACATCAGAATTTGGAAATATGCCCTGTGAAAAAAAAGCAGCCTGTTATGACTGGAATGCATGTGGGTAGGGCAGACTGTGTAAGTTATAAATTGCAACCATCAAAAATAGAAAATATGCTCTTTAAAAAAACACGCAATCAACCAGCTATGAGTGTAGACAGTACATGTGGGTAAGCTGTAAAGAAGCTGCAGGACACTTATCAGAAGTCTTAGGATGTAAAAATCCTTCAACCTATCCCCAGATTCTTCAAGATATATAGCATTTTTTCTGTGTAAAGGACATTCAGTAAGGGTTTACTCTACTTCAGACAGGTGCCTACAAGCCCTAAACTGATCATTCCCTATGCACTTTTATCAGCAGCATTTCCTATGCTGTCCTTATTACAGCTAAACATATTGTCAATATGACTGCTGGGAACCCTACACTCTATATAGTTCGGGGGTGGTGCATAACAAAGCCGCCATTAATGGCCTTTCTAAGCCACATGGCTTAAGCTCAAAGGCAGAAAGTGCATAAACTGCAGTTAGTGAATATAGCAGTGAAACATCCCATTAATTTACCATTTTCCAAACTTTCACTTAGTTGGATTTACCTTGAACCCATGCTTGACAGGAGAACAGTCTTTGATTTTTTGAAAGCCAGGACAAAAGAGATATTTTTGCTAAAAGAGATATTTTTTATACACAGTATACACTATTTCCCCAATTTCAATGATTTCTGGTCTGTTTCTGAGCATGCCACTTGAGTTCCTGTTAATATTATGGGAACCTTTGGGTTGATTATTGTATTATTTTATCTATAGTTATCTTATATTTCTAGCAAAAGACTTTCACAAAAATTGGAGTATCATACATTAAATACACTGTATTTATTTTAAAGTTCAAGTCTCGGCTCAGTCTCTTACCAACTTTCCATGAAGGCCCCCTCAGCAGTTTGTTATACTTTCTTTTATATGTATATACCTTTTCCAGAAGTCTTAAGGCCAGTTATGTCATGCATGGGGTCCTCTTCCTTTTCACCTTCTCTCAGTTTTGGGCAGTCCCTGATGATGCAGAGAGAACCACTGATGTGTTGAACTCAGAACTGATCTCTGCATCATTACACTTTGAGTGCAGAGCATCATGGCGATCCTCTTTCATGGGGTGTGCCCATAATACCCTGTACTCACAATATGCCCTTAGTCTTTCAGGTTGAGGGTTTCCGAACAAATTCAGCAAATAATGCAGAGAATATCTTGTGGAGTAGAAGAAGCACTGAAGAAGACGGGGGCAGCTTTGGATTGGTAGTATTAGGTTGAGAGCTGGTTTTTTTTTCAGATTTGTTTTATAAGTTGAGGAGCCATCGAAAAAGCCAGATGTGGACTTTATGATCTTTCATTTCAATATTTTTAAACGGTTTCTTTGACCTTCACAAATCAAATGGCAGTGGTAAATCAAGTTTTTAGATATTTGAGCTTATTTCTTTAGCAACTAAACCAGTCTAAAGTTTTGATACGTCTATACTTCTCTGCATCAAGATGAATCTGTCAAGCCTTTATTGTCATGAAAATTTAACAGCTATTTTCGTAGATTTATCCATTTTTAGTACAAAGGATCAAACTAATTAGTAGAAAAATGTATGCACATTATGTGTTTCATATTGGAGAATTTTTGCATAATCCCCCAGTAATTACCAAGAAGACAATTACAATATCAGTGTCTTGTCACTATTAATCATTTTAAATTACATGAATACACTAATTTTAGTTCATGATGCATTTCATATGCAGGCATAGATACTTGCCATTATGTTAAGATTGTACATTCATTCAAAGTATATAGTACTGAAAGTGTACAGTGTTTTAAAGTTGTTTGCAACTATAGTCGTTTTACTAATTTGGTCATTTTAACAAAGTAAATTACTAAACAATGACACAATAGAATAATTTTGGCATTTTCACTAAATGGTTAGCATTCGAAAGATATAAAGGGGAAAGTGGTGATAGGTTTATGTCTTCTGACAATTGTGTAATAAAAATGGTATGATGTGTATGTATTTCACAGATGCCATATTGAATATCACAGCATAAAGAATGCTATACTGTACAAATCTAAGGCAACAAATCAAATTATTACATAGGGAACAGGAATGACTAAATGGAGAGAATACCTAATTCTATTGCTTAATCTCATAAATATTTGTGTGTAGATTTGCTTGATGTACAAAGAATCATATTACAATCATAATAAAATTTAGGAAACCAAGCAATCATGATTCTCAAGGCATATGAATATATGAGGATTCAGTAATTCTGTCTAACTATATCTGGCTTAATACATATTCAAGATAAAATGTATTGCTATAAAAAATGACATAACAACTTTGCTGAGGCCCTCATGAGGTTCTTCAGGCATAAAGCGGCATATACAGTATATATTAATATAGTGTAAAACTGTATAATATATATTATAATATAATAAACCCCATGTGGATTATTTTTAAACACCCATCGTTCTGCATATGATGTGCTGTAACAATAGTGAAATTAAACAAAAAATAATAATAATAAAAAATAAATAAAAGCAAGAAAAGAAAGGTAGACTGTGAATTTTTCTGTTTCCTCTTACACTGGGGGGGTTATTGGTAAAGCACCCCCTTATGTTGGTAATTAATAGAGAAGTCTCTTTTCAGTGTGGAAGTTTTCCCTCACACAGGGATGAAGTTCAGCTTCTTTGCTATCATGGGCTCAAAATAAATCCTATGGGTTCAAGATTGCTGATTTGTTTCTGCAGATTCACCTGGGAGACTTTTTTAAATCATAATGCACTGCATGGCCTTTGAACTATGTCCAGAAGGTTTAAAAGGGCCAATAAGGTGGCTTTTGGATAATCCAGCCCATCACTATGAAAACAGGAGAGTTAGAAAACTAACTAACTGTATTGCTAGATGCCTAGCTCTTTGGAAATCAACCCCCTTTCTGTTTTTTTGTTGGTATTGTTGGGGATTTTGTCTATAATTTTATTTTCTGGTTGATTTGAGGTCAGTTTTTTTACTTTCGGCTGCTGTCCTATCTGTATCAAACTTTGTTTCACCATGGATCATCATTGGATTGCCATAATGCCATGCACTCAAAGTGTCATGATGCAGAGATCAATTCTGATTTTAGCACATCAGTGGTGTTCTCTGCATCATCAGGGACTGCCTAATACTGAAGAGAAGGTGAAAAGGAAGAGGACCCCATGCATGACATGACTGTCCTGAATACTTCTTGAAAAGGTATATACATATAAAAGAAAGTATATATAATATAAATTTGATAAGGGACTGAGTCCAGACTTGGACTTTAAAATTAATACAGTGTATTTCATGTATGCTACTCCACTTTTTGTGAAAGTATTTTGCTCAAAAGATAAGATATTATAGGGGGTGCAAAAGCAATCTACTTAATAGAACAAAAAATAATGTGGCGCTACTACTACCATATAAATCCTTCACATATTGACACACTGAATTTGCATAAATATAAATGAAATAGTGCAAATGAGTGA